TCTTAACCCAGCTGGTCTTAAATGATCTTTTCAAAACATTCCTGTGAATTCAAACTTGGACTCTACTGATGGAAATCTTCAAGTAAAATCTTGGCTTACCTCCACCTGAAGTTGGTGAAGTTAGGATCTTTCCCTGAACATATTTTCTGCTTCACTTATGTCTCTGCCCACAGAATGAGTGGGATGTAATACATAGATACAAGATACATAGATATAAGAGGCCCTCTGAAGAAGAGCAAAGGCATCATCCCTCCTTTGTGATAAGTGCCCTACCCACTGAACTTCACTATCATGCACATGCAGTCTGCTCTCTCTCATACACAGCATCTCAAATTTCTACCTAACTTCCAGTCTGGCCAAGGAGAAGAAAGATCTCAGCATGAGCTCTCACACCCAGAGAAGACCACTAGCTCCATCTAGAAAAGTGCAAAAGTGTCTGTCACTCCTTTTTTTCATGGTGCTGGCATGGCAAGCTGCTCAGGATGGGAAGAGGAACATTCTATTCTTGTATACTACATATCTTTCTCCCAAAAATTCAGCTCCACTGTCAACTCTAAGGTATCCCTAACCATCATGAGAAGCACCTTTATAGATACCTGAGAAACTCAGCAAAATATCAACAGACAGATTTAGGATGACAATATTTTTCTTCCATTCCTAAGTATCTCCTAAACCATGTTTCATGCAACTTGATCCTTTCCTGGCTGTGTGTGATCTTTCATCTGTCTGTGACTCAGGTCTTCTGAGAATAGCAGTTCTAGTATTTCTCTGGCTTTCAGCAAGGTAGTAAGAGTAAAAGGATAATGAAGTATTCAGACTACTGTATGAGAAGCCCAAAAGATATTTTAAATGCCTAAAACAGGCTTCATTAAAAATTATAACAATAAGGGTTTGATTAACTGAAAAGCCAGATTTCAAGCTGAAAGCCAGTGTGGAGCTATTCATCTGAGAGTAGTGATCAGCAGTCTTGTGTAAAATAAAAGTCATTTATCACCAATCAACATTTTGTTTTCCCATGATAAAGGACAAATATGAAAAAGAAGACCTAAAACATGTTTAAATATTCTCATGAAGTTGCAACAAACCACACAAATCCAGTCTCCAGTCCCATGCCATGGAGCAAAGGCACTGAACAACTTACTAGGTTTCAGAAAACAGTCTGAAAATGTGCATCAGAGCTGACAGCTGCAAGCAAAGAGAACAGAATGGTTGGATATGTAAAAACAGGAATTATAAAAGTGAAAAGAAGGTGGTAATGAGTCTGCCACTTACGGTCAGGCTTCACTGAAATACAAGTTGAGTGCGAGGCCTTTGGTTAAAAAAAAAATCAAATTGAGAAAGTGAGTTAAGTATAACTACTCTAGTGTTAAGCAAGATGAGCCTTCTTGGAAAGCATTTGAAGATTTCAATACATTTAGTATGGGAAAGGAAACTGTATATGGCACATGCAAACGGGATGCTGAAGTGTATGAAACATGCACAATAAATAACTTAGGTTATGCCCCAAAGGACATGTTTTGGAGGTTTTTTTTGGCATCTTTACAACAACTTGTACTATCATGATAATGGATACTGAAATGAAGATGTTTCAGTCGTGGTTTATAACATTTTAAGGCATCTAGTTATAAAGTAGCGTCAAGGGACTGGAATGATCTGTAGTTCTCAACACTCAAAAATACCTTTAACCATATGGACCCTATGACATCTAACATACCTGCTTTGCAATATGTTTCATTTGCATAGAGAATGTATGAGAAGCCTGGCTGGGAGCAGTTCATGCATTGCTCACTTGTAGAAAAGAGCAGAAGCACCAAGTTTGCATCATGCACCCTCATGTCCTGGCAAGGAAAATCTGACATTAAAGGGAGAAGAACCAGGGATATGCAGAACTGGGACCAGTATTTGGCCTGTTTCACATTCATAAGCCACAGGGAAAAAGCAGCTCCAGCTCAGAGAAGGAGCTGGCTGCATATACTGTGCCAGGTGACATTTTGCTCCCCCAAGATTCTGGCACTGAAAGATATTCATATATTTACAACCTTTCTTAAGGTCATCTCTGCTGTGTCTCCAGCTGAGCCATTAAATATTAATTGGACTACTTTCCAAAAATAAAAAGCAGAACCTCTAATTTACTTGTGTAATTTACACCTCCCACAAACCAGGTGTCCTCCTGAACCAGACCGAACAAGCCATTTGCTCTTCACAATCCTGAAATATGCTATGTGCTTTTGAGACAGACACACAGTTGCTTGTTCATTCTGTGTCCACAAATGCATGTTATTATTTGGGGGGGGGAAAAAGAACCTTAAATGAAACAGAAAATATGCCCTCCAGGTGATGCAGTCAAACCTTTCCACTCACACTAGATAGTTCTCTTCAGTTTGAGCTTTGGGCTTGATTTTTTTTTTTATAGTATTTTACCTAGATGAGTTTGAATATCTTGTCACAGGTCATTTTGTTCAACAAGATTTAAGGCTGCTAGATTTCTCAAAGAGCTCAGATTTTAACCCAGAGTCGTAAAGAGCATGATCACTTTCTGGTCATATACAAGCACTTGCATTAAAGAACTTTTGTATTCTCGCATAGAATCATAGAATAATTTGAGCTGAAAAAGACCTTTTAGTTCATAGACTCCAACTGTAAACTTACTTAACTATGTAATAAGCCTAACATTGTAATTAGCTCTGAAATTTAAGTGCAATACCAGTATCACTCATGTTAAGACAAGGTAAATATGTGTTCAGTAATCACTGAGCCACACTGATTATTCGCAGAAGTTTATTAGGTGCTGATTTACACTGATGAATAACATGCCTGCTCTTCAGTGAGGTTAAGGAATCTCTGGAGTGAAAATTCACAGAATTTGAGGTCCTCATTGCTCAGCTGCCATCGAAGCTCAGAGACACTAAAGTCCTCAATATCACATTACCCAAGAAAGCTAGTTTTGTTTTTCCACTTGTAGTGAAACACATCCATCCTGTCAGGGTTTAGCAGGCTGGATGCCAGCTCAAAACTAAACCTTCTGGGAATTTGTAGTCTAAGAAATACTTCAGCTTTATTGCCTCAGAAATTTAGTCTGTCAGTCTCAGAGCTTAACTGCAATATAGGTGCTAGGCAAAAAAAAAAGTTTCTATTTTCTTTTGGAAGAGGTGACTTTGTCATAAGTGAACATCAGAGCACTCACACAGGAAATGGGGCAGACAGACTCACTTTCTTTCTCTGAAAAGGGAGATTCAAAAGGCATCCTGGATCTTGCTTGAAAATATCCAAATCATCAGACTTGGAAATATTTTGGTGAAGGCGTGTTGAGAAAGAGAATATGTCTCCTCAGTTGCATGGGCTAATTAAAGGTTTGTTGTGCCGCAGAGTTTATACCCTGACTGCTGTTAGGTGGAGGATAACACCCAGGGAAGGTGAAGTTCTCAACTCCAGACTCTGCCAACAAAACACAAGTTCAGAGAAGAGGAGAGGACTTTGCCAATTTGAATTGCAACCAACAGCTGAAAAACCACAGCCCAGGAGCTTTTTTTGGGTCCTACTCCTCTGAGGAAATGATGCTTTTTTTGCACACTCTTTTAACAACTTGCCATCATTTCCCCTAAGCAGCCACAGGTGGGTGACAGAAACTTCTTCTGGGGAAATCGTAATATCTCTTGTCTCTTAGGAAAAGCTACTCTATTGGGGAGGAAATCCAGATGAAGTTTCCTAGAGCATTACCTTTGAGTTGGCAAGTGTGTCAATGGCAAGAGGCCATTCTGTATATCACACTCCAGCTTTGTTGGAAATCTGATCCAAACTAAACCCTACTGTCAGGACTGTGTATCCCCTGTTTTATCTAAAATGTCAAAATGTCAGTTAAGAGGGAATCCACAACCTCTGGTGAATGCTCCCATCATGTAAGATACACGTAGCACTAAATCCTTTGATACTTGTTGCAGCACTCCAAAGAAAAGGGGGCAAAATGTGGTTTCCCCCTATCTCCTCCTATCCCTGAATAACCCAGATCGTGGTGAATGAAGCACCAAGCTGAGTTTTGCCTATATCAAGAAGCCGGGGGAATGAAAGCGAGACCTCTCACTGAATGTTTCCCACTTGGTTAGAAAAGTAGAGGAAGCCCTTCTGGGTTGGTGGTGAGAAGAAGAGAGAAAGGAAAAATTCACCTGCACACTAAGGTGAGCAGAGGGAGATGCCTTTTGGTAATGCTAAACAAGGTAGTTAAACTTCATTGAAAATCAGCACTGAGAGCACCACAGCTCTTCTTGCTCTTCCTGTGTCTGCGGCACAATGTAGACATCACCTTCCTAATTCTCTGTGGAAATGAAACCTAAAAGATGCTCTACATCACCCAGTGCAGGCTCAAATCTTTTTTCTTTTTTTTTTCTTTTTTTCCCATCTGGACCTGAGAACCTCCAGAAATATTCAATGCTTTGTGAGACTGAGTGGTATTGTAAAGTGTACACCCTCAACTGGCATAAATAAGCTTCATTAATTAACTTAACAACAGATGCAGCAGTTTAACTGTGTTCTGTTTTATACCTTTAAAATTCAGCTTATAGTTTAACAGCTTTAGAAATTTTTTACTGTAATAGCTTTAGAGTTGTTTTTTTTTTTTCCTCCTCTACCATTTTCTTTAATAATAAAGTTTTATTTAATTTGTATATCTTGCAGGTAACAATTTAACACACTTTACTATATGTAACATATTCCTTTCTCAAAGTGAGGACCATTTTATTTAGGAAACCAAGGTTAAGCTAACAATTGTAGGTACCATTAAGCTCATGTTTATTCATGGCTAGCTGCCGTAGTCTATTAAAACTCTTTGGCACAAAACTGACTAAAAAATTAGTGAAAATTTAGCATCCCTCCCACCCCCAACAGAGTGATGTTGCAGCTGAAATGAAAGACTGAAGCATCGGGTTCTTCTAGCAGCAAGGCAGAGGGGGTGGAATGGGGAGACAGACAGGAAGTAAGGAAAACTGGAAAGATTCCACAGACGACTCTTTCTTTCTGAAATACTGTATTTACACAAAATTGAAGAGAGTACAAATACTTTACTAAGAAGACAAAACCATTATAGTACATTCAATTTAAACACAGGCAGAACTATAGATGCAAAGCACAGAGGCCTAAGGTACTTGCATGGGGGGGGGAAAAAAAGCACATCATAAAGGCCCCAGAGATTAAAAGCAGGAGGTAAGAGAACATTGTATCTGTTATGCAGCATCACCTTTCTTTGACTTCAGTGGGACTGAACAAGACACTCTCCTTCCTCATTGTAGATGGTGGGGAAAACCCTCTCAATGTGCTGATGGCTCAACACTGATTTTAAAAAATGATTAAGCATATACTTAATTTTCAGCATGGAAACAGAGCTGTTAATTTCAAAGGAAATTATATTTGTGCCTAATCACATGCTTATATTCTTAGTTCGACTAGAAGTAACCTTCTCGATGCTTCACAGGGTCAAGTCCATTGTTACATAAAAATAAGAGTTCTCTACTGTCTTCTTTCTTTTCATTTTTCTTAAAATATACTTTAGAATTGCTTTAATCTTCCCCTTAGGAACTCAATTAGAAAATATTAGCTTATTGAATGCCTTAGAATTTTTAAATTTTAATAAATGTCTTATATAATCAAAGGAATATTGTTCAAAAATAATTGCCACATTTTTCCAAAGCCTGTTTAGGTTCAAAAAGGAAAAAAAAAGAAAAATACATATAATAACAAAGCAGCTTTATATTTCCGGGCATTTGGCAGCAGGTCTGTTATAATATCTCTTGCACATCTCTTGTTATCAATAAAAATCACCAGATTAACTGATCATTATTAAAGAAAAGGTTGTACAATATTATTACAATTCACCATGTATAGCCAATGCATGAAATATTTTACACATTATATATCCCTTAAAAAGAATTAATATATTTTAGCCTTTTCTTTGAAAACAGATAGCTTCTGACATAATATATCTTAAACACAGTGGTATTTGTCACTTCTACTGTCTAACTGATTTTTTTTTCTTAATAAAAGCTTGTTTGAATAGGACTACTATCTCAGTGATGGAACTACAGTGCTATTTAACTAAATTCCATATATGTCATCATTATTGTTGCTGCAGTTATTGTAATCACATACCACTGAAGTGCTAAATATTAGTAACTCAGATATGTGGACTTTGGTTATGCTTGATAGAATACTGGAATATCAAATATATGTACCACTTCCTAAAGGCTATGTTACAATCATGATGCCTAGTAATAAATAATAATAACAACAATCTCAGATTCAAAGTGCTGACTCACTTGAGGCACCAATACAATAAATCAATCAATTAAAAGACTCATTTTTAATGTTTAAAACCAACAGAGCAGATCCTGGATTGCCAAGTTATATGTGCAGCACAGAAGACTCTGAACCTCTCCTTCCAATCTGGGGATTCCTGTCGTCCCAGAAACACTGGAATATCTTGTCTGATGTGGAACGCTCCAAGACATACCAAGTCTTCGGATATGAAACATTAAAAGCTCTCTAAGCTTCTCTAAAGCCTCGAAATGCTCTCTTAAGACCCCTCCAGCCAACTCCATTCAACCAGGGACAAGGCTTTGCTGTGTATTGTGCTTGGCTGCAGACCAGGGAAGAGCCTTTCATGAAAGTCCACGATGAAATGTATCACATTATGCAGCTTTCACACCCTGGAGACACTGTCAGCACTGTCAGCATGAGAGGGAAAAGGCAGCTTTCCAGCAGCAGCAAACACCTGTCTCACTCGAAGGGGAATGCTTTCATGTTGTTAGTTTGTTCTGTGCAAGCAGTAATCGTTTTCAGTGTCGAGAGAACTGTTGTACCCCGATGAAGGATACAGGTCCCTCTTAAGTATCCTGTTGACGATGTTGATCAGAACTTTTTTGTACTGTTGACGCAAAAGTGAGTAAACAAATGGATCTGATGCAGCCTTACTGTAGGTGAGGCACTTGCTTATAATTCCCCAGTAGTAATTTATGGTAACAAAAGGAAGGAGCTCTATCAACCTGTTAAACATTAAAGAGAAATGGAAACACTTAAGTGCTAATATTCACACTGAGCCCAGTGCTCAACTCATGCTTCATGAAACATTTAAGTAACACTTATTTTGTTACAGCACACAGTCCCTGCAGGAGAAGAGCCCTGTACTTACTTAGTCCTTGCTTTCAATAAAGACAAAGAGACCTTTTGCAAAGCCACTTGGAGACAAAAAGAATTTCCTCTATGGAAAGAGGAAAAAACTATGTTTTCAATGGTAATGCTTCTGTGCATCAGAGAGAAGAAAGTCCTGCAGTTTATTGCTTACTTTCTGAATTTAGAGAGTTGTGCTGGTAAGTGGTCAAAATTTTGGTGGCATAATTGACTACCTCTCTCCCATGGCAAGCTTGAGATAGACACACGTGACTCATGGCATCCAGACTCACTGAACTCAGTTGCCTAAGTAGAACTGTCTAGCGGCACTTGAAATATTTGGATATAATCCCATAGGCATCAGGCTGCTGCTCCTGGAAGCTGTGAGTCTGTAGCATATGTGCCAGGCTAGGTAAAGGATTTGGATACTATGCAACATCTCAAATGACATCAGAAACCTGGTCTAGATCACTGAATCCATCCCCTCAGACACAGAAAAGCGAACCTTCATTACACCCTGGCGGTGAATTATCACAGATGCAAAGAGGATTCGTGTCAGACCATTGTAGTACGAAGAACAACTTGGCAGTATCTCAGAGAGCTTTTAGTGGCACCTGCAATCTCACAGTATGCTTAGAAGCACACCTACATCTACTTACCCATGAAAGTTTTTGTGGTCACTAAGCTGACCATGAGTTTGGCCAAAGAAAACACGGAGACAACACTTTTATCATCATTATACGACCAGTCAGCTGCCTCCAGACCTGTGTCTTCCTGTCTGTGCTTCACGGATGATTAGTGGCCTCAGCACCTCAGCTGTGAGGGATGTATTAATCATGGGGGGAGAAACTGCAACTAAGTTAAACAATTTTTCCACAGAAGTGAGAGCAATCCTTCAGACTGTTCCAGCAAATGTCTCGCCCAGCTCATCAGTAGTGGGCAAGCCCTCCAGGAAGGTGGAAAGAACAGGGTGAGAAATTTTTGTTTTCTGTACATCTTTTGTAAAACCTTTTGCAGGAGCAAGAATATGCTGCTTTGCTCTATTCATTCCAGAAGAAAAAAAAATGTACAGTGAGTAAAATAGCCCTTTTCTGTACCCTAAAACATCACTGTTTGAAGATGTCAGATCAGAAGCTTTCTCAAGGCTTGAAGAACCTTCTGTCCTCTTTCCAAAGAGCAGAGTTCCCAACTTGCAGGGTGTTGATTTTTTAAGCTGTTCCAATCCCTCCTCTTAGAAAAGCTGACTTACAACCACTAGGACTGAACATTGCAACAAGTGACAGGAAAATTTCTTATTTCTATGAGTAAAAGTAAAATCATTCCTATGACAAGAGCATTAAAAAAACAGATGACTTCTGCCTGAAGCTGCTTGGAAAAATTTCCAGTGAATTCAAAACAGATAGAACAGGAAGACACAAATTGTGAGAAATAAATGCACCATAAATTACACTTGCTACTGATTACTTTGATTTATCCCATCCTGCATACTATCCAAATGCAAGAAATATACAATTGTTAATTACATAACTGATGTTTTTATAAAGACATTAAATAAGAACAGTAAGGTGTCCTTCAGTCATGAAAACAGATGTATTACTATGTGTTCCAAATAATGCATTATGGGTTCAAACTTAATTGCACTGAAGCCAACAGACAAAAAATTACACAGATTTTNAAAGGGTCTGGCCAAAACAATTCAGCCTTAGAAATACCCATGTGAATGCATCTTAGTATCATTTTCTTGTTTTCAGGGCTATTACAAAAGAAATGAAATTCATCTGTCAGATCTTAGTGAACAGATGAATATATTGCTAATGATCCTAATCTCATTCAAATTTCTGAAATGAGAAGCAAACACAGAGCTCACAGCACAACCTGAGTCACCAGGCCAAGAGCAAGAAAACGGGGATAATGTCTTTTACATTGCCTCCCCAGATATTGCTTCAGTATCACCCCCTAAAAACCAGAATAGGAGAAGAATGGGAAAACAGGCATGGCAGCAAGTCCTCTGACCTCACCTCCATCACCACCTATTATGTAGCACTGTCTTGGTACCGTCTTGTCTTTGGGACAAAGAGCCTTTCAGGATGCCCTCCCCAAAACCTCCTCATTTTGCTGTCACTGAACCAGCTCAGTCCTTGTGACTGAGACAGAAGCTGTACCTTGACACACATTTCCATAAACCAGCCCTCAGCCTTCTGTGTAGTGACTCAGGCTGTATCAGTTTGTCACACATAGAAAATGCACCACCTCACGTTTGCCAAATGCAAGGTCTGAAGAAGGAAGTAACTTTTATTTTAGAAGTTTATGAGAAATATCTCCACCCTGAAAAATGTGGCCATGCTTGGAGTTTGCTGAGCTTGGTAATGTTTAGATGGAAAGAAGATGGCAAAATCCACTTTGCTCAATATAATTACATCTTGATTATGGCAAAAGTGAATAGAAAATGACTCAAAATGTACTGTACAGTGATCAATTAACCTTTTAACTCTGTGATGTAATGTTAAGATTTGTAATAAACCTTCCAACTGCAGAAAAAAAGACATGGTTATCCAGGAGATTAGTTAGGAATCCCTTCCAACATGTAAATGGGGACTGAAATAAATGTCACTTTTAAAGATTAAAAAACATTGTCTGTTTTGTGCACTGGCCTTAATCTATCCCCCACTCATGTAAGAAAAGGGCAGTGACAGTGGCCATAAAAGGCCTAGATGTATGTGACTGTGTAAGGTCAGAGCATAAAGCTGGCCAATTTCTGTGAGCTGGTGTGGCTGCAGACACTGGCAGTTTGGTAGCAACCTTAAGGAAGCCCTCGCTAGGGGGTTTTGCAGACTAGTACACCTTCCTTGACAGAAGTCACTCCTCTTCAAGGCTGTCTTGAACACACTGTGAAGTAGAAAATATTTTTTAAAAATCACCTGTGAAAGACGTAGCCCATTTTAGTTCAGAGATGAAAGGCTAAATCTGAGGTGCTGCAATTCAATAGAATTACATTGGCTTCCAGATCACTGGTTTATGCAAAATTTAAAAATAATAAACATATATTGTATAAAGACTATACAAGTACAATAATGACAACAGTGCATAAGCAATTAAAAAGGTGCAAACCACCAGGATGGATGCTTATAATTCTGTGCAGTTGAGAAGCACGGTGTTTCCTATACATTTTAAAAGTCTAATTATTGGTTTTCCTGAGACCTAACTTTTACACCTCATCACAAGGCTGTGCTGCACCATTAGCAATATATTTACAGACATTAATGTTTCCAGACAGAAGCTTATCTGACAAATTATCAGCCTGGGCAAATTTAAATTATATCACCTCAGCTTCCAACAGCAGCAAGCTTGCCTTATGCCTTTAGAAAAAAAAAAGACTTAATCAGGAAAGTCTGTCTGCTTTCCTTTCTGTTTCTCGGGTTGTGTTAATAAGGAAGGGTGGCGAGTCTTTTAAACTGCTTTTATCTCCCATTGGCATGTAATTAATTCCTGGTATTTGTCCTAACAGTCTCTTGCTCTTGGCAGAGGCGCCCAGACCTGGCTGCAATGAGGGAAGGAGAGCCAGAGGCTGGCTGAGCTGCGCCCCAGGGCTGGGGGCGCGAGCAGGAGTGGTGTGTCAGAGTGGGTGTTTGCGTGTGTCTGTTTGGTGTGCTCTGCCCTCAGAACCGGCCCCGGGTGTCCGTTCTGGTGTCTGGCACCCCAAAATTAGCTGTAGGTTCCCCGGGCACCTTCGCATCACAGGACATCCCCTTCTCGCAAAGTCCCTCACCCCAACAGGGGATACTAACCTGGTGATAATGTAAGGACCAAAACAGATCACGAACGACCCTATAAAAATACTGATTTTCTTGGTAGCTCGCTGCCTCCTCCGTTTCTGCTCGTTCAGACAGCGCTGCTTCACACTGCGAAGGGAAAAGAGCAGTAGGGGAGTTAAGGCAAGGGAGGAGGCGCAACGTGAACCCAAAGGAGACGGAAAGGACTCTTTCGGCCCAAAAGCCCCTGCGCCAGGGAAGGGAAGGGGAGGGAAGGGGAAGGCAGTCCCTGGGGAGAGGACGGCAGTCCCAGTCTGGAGGAAAGGCAGCCCCTGAGGGGACGAGGGCAGCCCCCCAGGGGAGAGCAGGGCAGATCCCCGGGAGAGATGAGGGCAGCTCCAGCCCCGCTGAGCCTCGGGACGGTCGCACTCACCATAGCAGTGGTTCCCTCTTAAGAGGAGCTCAGCCAAGTGGGAGCACCCGGCTAGCCGGATTAGCATTTAAACAGAGAAGGTTACAAATGCACGAGCCACCGTTCCTGGCACTAAGCAGCATCTGAAACTAGAGGCAGGAGCGCTCGCCATGTGGCCGGGGCAGGCAGGAAGTGCTGGGGAGGCAGGACATTCTCTCCGCCCGGGGTACCTACCGCGAGTGCCCAGGGGCTGTGAGTCCGAACACGCACGCATTACCTGGGGTGGATATCCACCAGCAAAACCAGAGTCTGCATGGTAATAATGTCTATCCGCTTGCAGTGGAACCGGGCAACTTTTAACACCTTTAAATAGGTGAAGCACAAAATCACCAGAGACAGCATGAAACTGGTGGAGTGAAAGACAATGGTGAACACCGTAAACCTTCTTCGCTCCGACTCTTCCTTCAGGTGTAGGGTGCAAGAGGCATAAACGCTGTTGTAATCTACCCATGAGTAAAACAAGGATACCAAGGGGAACGTGAGGGAGTGGAGCCACGAGTAGCCCATCAGTATCACAGCGTCTTTATACCGCATCTTGCTGGTGTAGCTTAAGGGGAACACCACGGCAATCCATTTGTCGATGCTGAGTGCTGCCATGCTCAGCATCGTGTTGGAAGTCAGGAAAGTTTCCAGGAAACCCACCGCTTTGCAGATACAGCCCCCGAGGGGTTGCTGGTTCCTCAGGATGCCCAGCAGCGTAAAAGGCATGTTCAGGACGGTGAGGAGCAGGTTGCAGAAGGATAAGTTCACCAGGAAAACCCCGGCGACCTGCTTGCGGATCTCTGTACTGTAGACGAAGCATAGCAGCACCAGGAGGTTGGAGAGCAGAGAGACAACCAGCACCAGCACGAGGAGCAGCGCCAGCAGCACGCCTGCCAAGTCCATCTCTCAGCGGGTCCCCTGGAGCGGGCGAGGGCAGGAGGAAGGGGGCACCCGCGCCGGCACCGCAGCCTCGCCTGCCGCCCAACGCGGCCGCCCGCGCATGGTGCCGGCGGCGGGGCAGGGGCCGGGGGGCAGCACCGGGGGCCGCGGGGCGGAGGGAGAGGAGCAGGGAGCGGGCAGCGGGGTCCAGCGGCAGAGAGAGGGGCGAGGGGAGCGGGGCAGAGGGAAGAGGACCCCAGGGGGAGCGGGATTCTCTGACAGCAGAGTCAGGCAGCAGGGGAGCAGGGGCCGGGAGGAGCGGGGCGGGAGCCGAGGGTAAAGGGGCGCCGGGGTGCGCAGCGGCTGGATCAGGAGGTAGATGGAAGGTGGAGGTACCCGAGAATCGGAGCAGGAGCGATTCTTAGGGGGTCCGGGGGGCCCGGGGGCCGGAGCCCAGGGAGCTGGGGCCGTGGGGAGCGGGGCGGGAGCTGAGGCGGGATCCGGCTCCGCGGCGCTCGCCGTGCGCTGTCCGCGGTGCTGGAGCGGCGATGCCCCGACGGCCGCGCCGCCCGGGGCTTCAGGCCGCGGTCCGCGGGCCCCCCCGCGCCGGAGCCCCCTCCATGCCCCGCCGCGGCTCCGCTCCGCCGTGCGCTCGGCCTCCGCAGGCACTGAGCATCTTCCCCCGCTGCCCAGCCCCTCAAATACTCCAGCCGCGGAGCCTCCCGCAGCGACTCATGCGCAGACGAGCGGCTGCGAGGCAGAGGCTCATCCAGGGATCGCGGCGTCGGGCTGATCCACTCCCAGATCGCAGGCGAGAGCGACAGGGAGCCCAACTTTTGGCTACTGTGCAGCTCAGGGAGGATCAGACCTGAAGAGGAGTTAGTAGTAGTTTGATCCCTGCGCTCTGCTTAGGCACACCCTGAGCGCGCCAGCTGCTTCCGGTGCTCCTGGAACCTGTACAAAAGTTGGTGTCTCTGCCTCTTGGCAAGCTTGTCCCCCTTCATCTGAGGGATTGCTTGCACTTTTCCCCCTTCAGCAGATTGCTCTCTGGGTATTCACACTGTCACCACATTGGCCAGCAGTGAGGGATGTTGCTTGGCCAGAGACTCCACTTTGACTGCTTGGACGCACCAGCTGGCTGAACAAGAGCCCACATTTGGGTAGTGCTGCACATTCTGTGGAAAATTAAAGTCTCCCTCTTTGCCATTTTCCATTCACAGTGTTAACACGATAGTGCAATTGTAGGAAAGGTTCTTTCTGTTATCACATTGTGGCAAAAGCTGTAAAGACAGACATGAAAGAGGACAGAAATTCCCCCTCTGCAGCAGTCAGAGATGTGGTTCATACGGCTATTTCCCAAAGATGCCATAAATCTTTCTCTTAGATTTAAAATAAATAAATAAATAAATAAATAAAGAGAGAGAGAGAAAACAAAAGGAGTAAGTTTTGGTGCATCAAAACACTGATAAAAGAAAAAGCTGCCGTGTCTAATCACTGTCACATTTTACAGTTGATCGCCAGAACTGACATGAAGAAAAAGGAGAAGAAAAGGTAGCTTTCCTACTATCCAAAATTACTATTAATATCCCAAGGAAATTCCATATTGTATATATTGTCCCTACAATGTAGCCTTGTCACGCAAGTGTGACCATTGTGTGGATAACTGTACATAAAACTGCTTGAAAGAGCCTGAAGGCAATGTTGGTTTTGTTGGTTTTTGGTTATGTTTTTTTTTCCCCAACAGCAGTTATAAGTTTTGGATCAAGGTCTAATTGAAAAGCTTACTGTGGTAAATTATATGTCTTAAGGAAAGAGCAAAGCCGCAAGACATGAGATTTGTTCTTTGGAAGAGAACCAGTACTGTATTATTCCTCATGATGGAAAGAAGATGAGCATTTTCTTTGATCAGAAAGATGTCATTTCAAAAGTTAAAAAAGTTCAGATACATTTGACAACGATTACACTTGACGAACAAAGACCCAATATATATCTGTGTAAGCATTTGAGGAAGAAAAATCTATAAAAGCATGACAATACCAGTTCTCCAAGAGTTCATTTGTATCATCAGAGAGCAAACACTGTCTGGGAAGGGTTGGGAAGAAATGAACCACTGTGGGATAACCTGGTTATATCATTACAGAGCAAAGGTTCTGCGATTACTCCCTCTCTGACAACAGCAATTCTTACAGTTCCAACTCGTCATAACCCATATATGACCTACCTTTCATTTAATAGTATCACAAGGTTATGGAGCTTTTATGTTAGTCATCTGGGATTAGAGGCTGTCTGTGTAATGATATCAGGTGGGGTAGATGCTACTTTGTGTCATCACAGGAACAACCTAGATGTGCTGTTCTCTTAGTGTGATAGTTACTCGAGAAGTTGTTTACTGTTGGATCCAGACAGAAGACAACTTCTGTCTCTTTCTCTCTTCTACACATGCACAATTCCTTTCATGCAGCCTTTTCAAATGAAGAATGATTTGTTTCTAAAAACTAAAGGAGAAAGAATACATCAACATAAGACAAGAAAACAAAAAGGTGGCAAAAAGTCAGGAAAAAAGAAGATTCTGCTTTTTCACACGTACATTGAGTTTTATGGTCCATTGCAACAATATTCTGGGCTTAAAGAAACCCAGTAGGGATGAGATTGGAAGATTTTCCCTTTCATATTCTGTGGAGCTTTGTCAAGGTGATAAGTTAAGCATACACATGATTTCCTGTGGAATGTCAGTCCTCTGTTGACCCTTTCCCATTTACAGGCAGCAACCTATAGCATAGTATGAATACCAGACACCTTTCAGTCTGATGTTCAAGTGCCCACTTACAGTGTATGAGGTTGAAAACAGTCACCTGTGAGAGATCAGAAGGCTTGAACTTGCCACGGTGGGTTTGCAAAGGTGGGCACTGGCACCACAGCCCCTGAAAACACATATATTCCTGTTACCTTTTTGCATATAAGCTGACATATGTAAATGCTCACAATATGCAAATGTTCACACCAGTCATACTAAGCACACACATTTTCTCAATCAAAATCTTACAGTATTTACTGTCATAATCAAGGATCCTGTCTTGATTGAAACTGGTGACTGTGGAGACGGCTGCAACAAAATTTACCAAAGGAAAAAAATAGATGTTCTTGTCATTAATTATCCTTTAATAGACATAGGCTATTTAGTTAACACAGATTAGGTAAGTACTTGAGACTTTTTTTCTAATAGCCGCATCATTCATTAAATCTACACATTCATCTGTTCTAAATATTGACCACAATTTCTTGGATTTAATGGTTAATGGACTGTATTCATTGAAAAGGAATAGAGGAGATTCAAATTCCTTTTTAATTTCGCTCCAGGAGAGATGTGTCATGGAAATTTCAATGTAGATCACAACTGAGCATAATTCAGTTCTAATCAATGTATTCTACAATGGCTAGGAACACATTTAATTTGGTTCTAAATTTAAGAAAGCACCATGAAAGAAGGAGATCTCAAACAAATTATATCAATTAATTTGCAAGTACAGAGAAAAGCAACCCCTTTTCCCAGATTTTCTTATGACAGGTGAAGAAAGGGAAATTAAATTATATTAACCAATATGGGGGAAATGGGATGACTCATGGAAGTGATGTTAAGAAGAAAGCTTTTCACTTCTAGGCCACTTGCTAAAAAGTGACCCATTTCAAAAGTGAGTAGGACAGATTAATACTCATTAGATTTTTCACTATGTTCTGTAAACAGCTCTGCTACTCATAGTTCCTGAGAAGCACCGAGAAATATCTTCTCACTACCACAATGGCAACAGGTATGCTGTTACTGTTGCATTAGTTTTAGCTTATGAAGCTTTAGTTAAGACAGGGTCCTTCAGTTCTTCAAGTCTCATCAGCAACTTATTTTATTATTATTATTTGATCCCTCTTTCTTCTCAGAGACTTATTTTATTAGGATTTGGACTATAGGGTTTTTGAGCAAGCAGGGTTTATTTAGGGTTTATTTGGCAGACTAATACAGATTTTGTTCTTCCTGGAACAATAAGACAAATAACAAGTAGGTAGTAGTATTGTGACAACCATCAGGTTGTTAGGCTCTAAAGAAAAGATGCAAAGCCAGACTCATCAGTATAATATAATTCTACAAGACTGTTCCTGTGGCAGAATTCTAGTAGGCACATTTACCACCTGTGGAATAACTTTGTCCTTTCTTCCTAAAATGGAGTAAAGACAAACTCCACATGTGTAAAGTCCACACATTCCTTCAGTAGAACTCTACTTTGCAGGGGAAAAAATGGAGCAGTAAAAAGTATGTGTGTCTGTCATAACTACCTGGGAAGGTAGAAGAGCAAAAGAAATAAGAAGCTCAACCACGTCACAGTTCTGCAGACCAAAATTCCTTCAAAATTGCCTAAATACTGTAATTCAGTTCAGTATTGAGTTCAATATGTTGAACTCAAAGTTCAACAGATAATCTTGCAGTTGTATCAAATTTGGACACTTGCAAAAATCTTTTGACTTGTGTTTGTGTTTATGCAAACTAGACACATTCCTAGAGTCTACAAAAATGGATCTCAAAATAATTCCAGAAGATAATATTTTGTTTTGGAAGATGGAGGGCAACAGAGCTGGTGAAGGGTCTGCAGCACAACTCTTACGAGGAGTGGCTGAGGGAGCTGGGGCTGTTTAGCCTGGAGAAAAGGAGACTCTTGAGAAACCTTACCACTCTCTACAACTACCTGAAGGGAAGTTGTAGATGAGGGTGGGTGTGAGGAGGTGGGGTAGTGAGGGGGGTGTCAATGTCTCCTCCCAGGGAACAAGTGACAGGATGAGAGGAAATGGCCTCAAGTTCCACCAGGTGAGATTTAGATTGGATATTAGGAAAAATTTCTTCCTTGAAAGGATTGTCAAGAATTGAAATGAGCTGCCCAGAGAAACGGTTGTCATCATCCCTGGAGGTATTTACAAAACCTTTAAATGTCTTTTAAATGTAGATGTGGCACTTAGGGACATGGCTTAGTGGGGACTTGGCAGTCCTGGGTTAGCAGTTGGACTTGATGACCT